ACACTTCCAGTATTTTTGTGTGATTAAATCTGGCCTCTTTTTGGCACTTTAATGTCTAAAGAAGAGAAGACCCCGTCTCTCTTGAGAGGTCTCCTTTGGGTTCAGGAAAGCACTTACCTGCATTCAGGTGAAACCATCAGTCAAAAAATATTATCTCAGAGAAAAGCTCACCACTGATCGGCTTTCTATTTGGATTAGCCATGGACTTGGTCTTTTGCTGCTGCAACAGCTGAGTCCTAGTGTGGATCCACGGAAGGAGAAGAGGCTACTCTGGAGGGCTCCTGTTCCTCCCATGGGCTGTCTGAGCCTTCCCATGTACTGGCTTTGCTTAGATTTCTCTCTCTTACACGTAACAACAGCACGCTGCTTTATTTGGAAGAAGAGCTGGAGTTAAGCTGGTTCTACCTGTATTCTACCTAGCAAAATTTACTTACAAAGTTTATGATCTATTAGTATTTTTTGCTTGCTTCAGCAACGTCCTTCAACTAATTTTGTTTACTCCCTCCATCCTTTGATAGTTGTAGGGATTTATTGGATGAAATTTTTAGAAATTTGCTCTCCTTGGACTTCCCCTTATCTTTTCAATATCTCTTTACTGTCCCAGACAGACCAATATCTATAAATAAACTAGGATTTCCTCATTTTGATTTGAAATTTTGGAGAGAAAGCACAGCACTATTTTAGAAATTAACAGAATGGTGATAAGTTTTTTCCCATTTCACCAGAACTGGTTACTAGAATCCAGAGTTCAGGACAAAAATTTCTTAAGTATCTGATATCCTAAAGGGAGCAAAATTAGAGAGGAAGGAAGAAAGCCACTTCAGAATTTATTACAAGATAGACAAAACGGCTGTGCCACCTTCAACTGACATTCCAGAGCTTCCCAACCCGTCTACATACATTGAAAACTAAATAGGAAGTAAGGAGACAGATGTGAGGGGTGGGGAAGTATAGGAATCCTGACACATCGGCTGTGTTCAGGGCAGGAGTCAGTAGAGAGTCAAGGGGGAGGAGGCCCAAAAGAATCACTGAGGGAGGTTGGGGATGCCAGTGAGGGAGGGAGACAGCATTTCATTCCCCAGCAGAATATTTTTGCAGCAGCAAATTTTCTGATCTTTACCTTGCATTTCTCTGAGCTGGAGAGAAAAGCATCGGAAAGAGACAGCAGGGCAGAGAAGAGTTCAACCATGGAGCAGGCTGCACTTTCATCATTTGGCATGGCAAGTTTGTGGCTCAAGTAGATACAACAAACGTTAGCCTGACTTCTGTACATCCTAGATGACCATCTGCTGGAAGAGTAACCTCAGTAACAAGCAGCTATGCATGCCCTGCTGAGGCATATATGAAAAAGGGGAAGTGGAAAAATATTAGCAGTAATGAGGATGTCCCCACAGGGCACCTGAAGTACTCTACCATGACTTTTAAGAAAGTGTTAGCATTCATGTGTCTGCTGGCAAAAGAACACCCACCAATGGCAAATGGTTGTCTAGGGGAGCAGCAATAGCCAAAAGAAGAGCACAACACCAACTAAGAAAGAGACATCTGTCCCTTTCCATCTTTCTTATCCCCTTCTCCCAGGATCCATCCCCCAAAGAGATATTGATCGAGAAGCCAGAGAGGGAAGACGAATGGAAAAGAAGACTGTGCTTTGTCCCCACTTCAAGATGAACTCCAGGTATTCCTGGGAAGAGATGGTAATCAGATTGGATATGAGGTAGACGTTTTGAACTAAGCTCAGCTAAAAATAACTTTTTAATAATTGAAATGATCAAAGAGTTATGGGATCTGTCTGAGATAGCCTTAGGGGACAATAAAGGGAAAGAGTGCGTAGCCCAGTTGGGACAGCAACTGGAGGAAAATGTTAAACAAGCATTGTTATGTTCATATCCTATTGGGTTTAGCCTATTAATAGAAATTAATATAGAAAAAATGAATGTGAAATGAGATAACTATAATTAAGTCCGAAGAGAAAAGTATATAGATAAATTTGGTTTTTATTTGGAATAATGCAGAGGAATGAGGATTTCAAAAGAGATACTGAAGGATTTTAAGAATTTAAAGTTGCCCATGAACAATTTTATGTCATGTGATTTTTAGAAATCAGCTTTTTTTGGACATAAAGTGAAAAAAACTCAAACATTTTCACGCTTTCTTTTCTTCAACTGATTGAGCACCTCTATGTGCCAAACACTGAGTGACTCCCTGGGAAACAACAGGCCTGCTCCTGCTCTCCTGAAACATATGTTCTTTTTCTCTAGATGCTCAGAAGAGTGAGCTTTTTAGGACCAATGAGAAAAGTCACAGAAATCCCAATGACCCATGGTCTTACGTATAAGAGAAAGAGACAGCATTGTCTATGCACTTGCTATGTGCTAGGTGTTTTTATAATCATCATATAATTTAATCCCCAGCATAAATATAATTTATCCCTATGTGGATAATGAACAAATTGAGGCTCAGAATCATTAAGTAACTTGCCCAACCTCACTCAGTCACATAAAGGCCAAAGCAGTAATAAGACACCAGTTTTATCTGGTATCAAACCCTGCATTTATTCCACTGCAATATGCAGCCTCTCAGTGAAATGGCCACACAGAAGTAAATTGAACATGTGGAAGAGATACCTATAATTGACAATTTGGAGGTCAGAGCAATATGGGATCATCTTACTTGTGAGCATTATTGAGCAAATTCCATACAATGTGGAGTCACTTTGTATTTTATCCTTAGGGTAAAATTCCTTACTGAAGACCCATATAACACATATAACATAAGACCCATATAACACAAGTGCATGTATAAGGTGACCCAGCTAAAAAGATAGCTTACATGAAAGCATTTGGATTATTTGGGGGAAAAGTACTTGGTTATTCTAATAAGAACTTCCTTTTGTTGTAGAATTCCCTAATATAACTGTTGTGACTCCATGATTTTCAGATATTTACAGAAATTAATTTCCTTCACACTGCCTAGAAAGTTTACAGCTGTTCTCCAAACATGAAAAAAAGAAAGAAGCAACAAGAATCTTCCCTGAGTAGATATTACTGTCACCCCCATCATGGACTAAAATATGCAGTCCTTATGTATCGTCAGAGAAGTATCACAGTGAGAAGCAGTTGGAAAGGCTACATTCTGACCTCTGGTATATACTGATGTTCCCAATTATTAAATGATGCCAAAGGAAAAGATTTATGAAGTAATTGTTATTCTTATCTATACGAATCCTGGCATTTATCATTTTAATTAGGATATACTCATTTTCAAGCATTCATTTATCTGGCAATCATTTTTATAAGGAAGCAACTCTCACCTGGGTTCTATGAGAGATGAGAAATAAACACAACAGAATCTCTACCATTTGGCAATGATAGCTAAGGAAAGCAGATGGAGTATACACACAATTATTTATAATATAAGATATAGCATGCAAAATTTCATAGCAAGAGATAAGTGATATTTGTGAGTGATATGAGAGTTCAAAGTAGCGAGCGATTGCTTTCAGCCAAAGGAATCAAGGAAGGCTTTTTGAAAGTGGCAGCCTTTGAGCTAGGCTTAAAATGGACTTTGAAATTTACCAAACGCTTTTAGTATTTTAATTGAAGTTAAAATAATGCTTTTCCTCTTTTGATCAATTTATGTAATTTATATGAATAATTTCTTAGTAGTAAGTCATCCTTATATTACCATAAGAAAATGCATTTTTTAAAAAATATTATGTTGGACTCAGTCTACTTGTACTGTATTGTGGACACTTGCATACCTATTCGTGTATATTCCAGAAGACTGGAGGGTAGTTTTCTTTCTGTGTACCATCTTTATCAAGTCTTATTATCAGGTTAACGTAAAATGAATCGTGTAGCATTCCATCCTTTTCTATACGTTGGTAGAATTACTAAGGGGATCTTTCAGTCCCTTGGAAAATATGAAAGGATTCCCTGGTGAAACTACCCTGCTTTAGATCCATTTTTTCAGGTAACTGGAAATTCGGACGGCGTTTTCAGATTCCTCCATGGCCTTGAACACCCCAGTAGCTCTGTTCACGCTTATTACTTCCTCCTAAATTAATTGCAGTGATTAAAATTTTCTAGAAAATTGTCCATTTCATTTCACTGAGATTTTAAAACTTATTTGCATAGAGCTTTATATAGTTTTCTCTCCCCTTACAGTCTTTTAATAGACTTTTATCCCTATCTCATTGTTCTTCCTCTAATTTTGTTTATTTATATATTTTTTTATTGGGTAGATCTTTTTAAAATTTCTTGGTTTATTTATTTCTTTATTTTCACCAGGAGGGCTGGCCCTCAAGATGACGGAGACTGGGAGACACAAAGGCAGGCAGGAAAGGATATACTAATTGGCTGGAATAAAGATATTAGAGGTAGAAAAAAAAGGAAGCAGATTTTTCTTAAAAGAAATACCTCTTTAATAGCAGTGAACAGAGAAAGAAAAGCAAGATTGGGTCCTCCGTAAGATAAGAAATACTGTTTGTCTTGATAACATAATAGTGCTTTTGAAAGTACTATTTTATTATCTCTACTTAAATAAGTATTTTATCTTAATAGGCAAGCACATTTATCAAACTAAGTGTCTTCAGATGTAGGTGGTGTGGGCTAAGTCTTATACCTATCCAGGGGAAATACACTGAAAATCAAGAAATGTGTGTGCTAACCATGGTATAAGGCTGGGAAAGCTGGTTTTAACTATTTTAACTTCCTCTTGCTCATCCTGTATCAACTGGGGATGATATTTGTTCCATCTTTATCCACCAAGGGTATTTTGATAATAAAAGAGCAAATACTCAAAGTATTTGGAATCTTTAGAAATGAGTGGTTAAAAAGAAAACGGCAAGGTTTCTTTAAAAAAAAAAATTTAAAGACGTATCTTTCCTGACTAATATTAATAAATTTGCATCTTCACCAGAATATTTATCACATGCTTTAATTTCATTGTTTGTGACCAAACTGACTGAAATTAAGGTTATGAAAGAACTGGAGCCTCACTCTGAAACACCGCAAAGCAGCATTCTTATTCCTCTTTCAGGTATGGCAACTGGTAATGTTAAACATCGGACTGTCTCCATATTGAAATAAGTGGAGCCATTTCACCAGGAAGCTTCCGTTATTTATATTGTTGGCTTTCTCCTCTTCTATCAGCAAGCACAAGTACAATGAGATCCTGGAACAAATGAGCTTATTAAGATCATGGTTAGACATATCGTTTTTCAAATCACACTCTACAAGACAGATATGCTGGCAAAGCTGTAATAAATGTCAAGGCTCAAGGCATTCACCATTCTTTTCAGCAGCCTGATGGCTTGGCTAGAAAAGCTTTTCATAAATTTCAGTGCACACCTGTCAAGTGGCAGGTGTGATAGTCTGCTATCGCGGAGCCTGAGCTGTGATTTCTGGGCTGGCAGCACTGTCATCGTCTTCAATGCAATCATGTGCTTTTCTCTGTTTGTGACCAATGAAATCTATGTGATCACACTGAGAATTGGTGCATCTTGGCAGATCTGCCAGTGGAACTCATCACATAGAGATTATTTTAGATTGGCTGCCATGAGGTGTTATTTCCCATTTGTTACAGAATGGGGTTTCATAACTATGACAACTGAAATACATTCATTTGTATATGGGTTTTGTCCTTGTTGTGGATACAATAACCCATTCCATCTTTCCTACACTCCTTTAACCTTTCACAATCAATCCTGTACCTGAAACAACTGTGAAGCTAATTATGTCACATTTTCCTTAGAGGGGAAAAAACGTTTTTTTAAAAAGATTTTATTTTTCCTTTTTCTCCCCAAAGCCCCATGATACATAGTTGCATATTTTTACTTGTGGGTCCTTCCTTCTAGTTGTGGCATGTGGGATGCCACCTCAACATGGCCTGATGAGCGGTACCATGTCCACGCCCAGGATTCAAACCAGTGAAACCCTGGGCTGCCGAAGGGAAGCGTGTGAACTAAACCACTCGGCCACGGGGCTGGCCCTGAGAAGGGAAAAAACTTTTTGTTTTAATAAGCTGAATTTGTGAGTTAGAAACACACTTTTGATCCAGATTGTATGGCATAAAATTATATTTCGTATACATGCAAACATATAAGCTTAGAAAATTTCTGAAAAGAGATTCAAACTGTTGATAGTGATACCACTAAAGAGAAAGGAAGATTTGGAGATGGATGAGTCAAGGGTCTTCCATTTTCTTCTCCATATATTATGGTAATGCTTGGATTTCTATGATGATAATATATTCCTATGTTCCTTGTGTAGTAAAAGAAGTAAATTTTAAAATAGGGAAACTTCAATATTGATATCAAGAAGAGAACATAACCACAAAAGACCATATTTTGATGAAAAATGCTATATATTTATGGAGTGCTTTCATATATACTTATATATCTCACTAAATCTTCACAGACTCTCAGTGGGGTAATTGAATCAGGTTTTAGCATTCTCACTTACACAGGTAAAATCTGAAACTCAATGAGGTTCAGGGACATGATTAAGTCTCTAAGTTGGGACTGAGGATCTGGGTCTTCTGATGTCTAGATGAAGCTTCCATCCCCCCAAACCCCTACCTCCACTACCTCATTATTTTCTGTTTTGAAAGCAACATCAACAACAAATAAATTCTTACTGTCTATTTGCTATAAAACATACTATTTTTTTCCATTTTTTAATATTTCTGACATATATATATATATACAGTATATATAGTTCAAGTTACCAATAGAGTCACAGTTTTATATTAAAAGATCAATTACTTAGCAGAGTTGTGCAGACATAAACAGAAATTTAGATTCTGGAACATAAACAGAAACTTCAATACTAAGCTTTCCACTGAAGAAAAAATAACATTAACTATGTTCAGCTGAATAACTTTATTTTGCAAAATTATGGCAAATGCAAGGCCTCTGGTTCCTCGACTAAAGGATATCTGCCATAAATACCATTTAAAAAAATAACTGTGAAGTGGAAATAGTTTCTATTGATGGCATAGTCTAGTTTACCAAAATTAATAGCAATTCACCAGTTGAGCACAGGCACATTTTCAAAACTTTTACTCTGCTAACCACTAGTTACTTAGAGCAAAAAGTTAATATGAGAATTTTAGGAACTGCTTACCTTCCCATCTCTTCTTTTTTCCCAAATCTCTGCCCTTTTATGGTAATACAATAGTTTATAATTATTTTCCTTTCCTCAATCCCTTTTGTAAATGGTTTAGAGGAGAGAATAAATACTGGAAAAAGCTTGTTAGTTCATGTTTATTGTTTTAGCACTTAAAACATAAGATATTCCAATCTGTAGGCAGAAAGACTACGCTCATACCAAAGATTCCTTGGTGACCCGGAAACCTCTCTGAAATCCTTGACACTCAGTCTAGTGACCCCCAGTTTCATTTCTGGCACTTTCAGGAATTAGAATTGGGGTGGGGATGGGAGAGAAATGCTTGAAGAGGTTAAAAATCTCCAAACAACATCAGGGAAGTGGGCAATGACAACCAATCATAACTACCAGAGAGCAGGGTCTTATGTGCCTCACAAAAGCACTAGGCTGCCTTTTAGCCCGGTCACCATTTGAATCTGTCTCCTCTGGGTTCTCCTCACAAGGCAAAGTGCACACAAGTCCTTGCCTTCTCTCTGAGGCTGCTAGCTGTGCCTCTGAACTGGAAACAGTGGCTCACATTTGCAGCCAACTCATAGGGTTTGCTCAGTTCAACATTTACTCTGACAGCCATTGACCAAATCTATTATTGACTGAAGAAAAAACATTATGCTTTGTAATATTGGAAGCGCACCTGTGAAGGGGGGACAGTAAGTGACTGCCACAGAACACAGGATACGAACTACCACTCCCTTCCTTTCCCAAGTAAGCCCATGGCTGCTGCTGGCACAATGACTCTGGGGAGTGGCCAAACATTTTCCATGAGTGCCTGTTGAACTAGAACATCCATCCCTGGTGATGGCTGTGATTTCCGCATCCTGTACCTTCTTTTAAAGTCCCTAAATCTGCACCAGCAGTTACCCATCTAGGGCCTTCCTGACTCGCTAGATTGAAGAGCTACAAGAGTCTTCTCTGTCCAGGAACCTAGGGACAAGACAAACTGATAGCATTTAATAAGCAATTGCCATATTGATATTTGTCTTTATTTCCAACATTTATCTCTATCTTCCAATAATTGCTAAGATTTATTTATTTAATATGTGTCAGATATATTTCTAAGAGCTTTACATTAATTAACTAATTGAATTCTAAAAACAACTCTAAGAGAAGAAACTATTATTATCCACATTTTGTAAATGAGGAAAATCAAGGCACCAAGAGGCTAAGGAACTTCTCTAAGAACAGATGTATAGTGTCATCTTGCTCTTGAGTCTGTGGTCTTAATTGCCATGTGATGCCATTTCATTCACTGATTTGTCTGTCCACTGCTTCTTCCTCTGCCTGCATTTCCATCTGGACCACAGCACTCAAAATTTCTAGGTTCCCCAGACATCTCATATGGCTTCGTGTATTGAAAAATAAACTAATTGATGTGTTTATTTTGAATTTAAAAGCTTTGAGATTTCATTGTACTCAAAAATCTTTTAAAAATGACCAAAAGCTGGCCTTAATTATCACAGTATTTTCCCCTAGAATGCTTAGTTGGTATACTCCCAAAGCCAAACACTATGGAAAAGTGATGTGTTTTATAAACCATCTTTTGCCTCCGAGTACCAAGAAAAGGGGAGTGGCACGTCTGACCTTGAAATCCCTACTGACCTTCTTCGCTCCCTGTAAGAAATGCTCTAGCCCTCTGTGAGCATGTGCCTTTCCTTTCAATAGCTATTGAAACTGTCACTTGAAGAGGGATTGAGAAGGATTGTGAATAAAACAAAAAGGACACTTGTGTTAATTCTATCCCCAGACACTGACATTCTATCTTAGGTGAAATAAACCATCATGTGTGTGTTGATTTTAGAAAAGGTTTAATGGAGGCTCTGGCACTTAAAGGAATCTATAGCTTGTTTCCAGCATGAAATGAATGTTTTAATTAATGACTTATTCTGTTACATTTTGGCTGGCGGTTTCCTCTTCCCTTTCCTCCCCTGGGGCTAGGAGTCAGGCGCTGCTCTAGGTACTGGAGACACAGAGACAGTGCCTATGGTCTGGTCCCTGCTTTCCAGGATTTCAATTGGTTTCTACAGCAATTTCAGCACCTTGAGACACACGGCTTCCAGGGGACATCTTTATGTTCTTATTTTAGCTTGCCAACTTTCCACGTTCAAATTTTAAGTTGCATTAATTGTTCCATTGTCCTCTCCAGCTGTCATCCCAATGGCCTTGGAAATAAATGCCCACATCTTACCTAAACTGATGACCAAAAAATGTAAGTAAACAAACAAAGCAATGAAGACTATCAATCGGGAGGAAAAGCTCATTACATGCTGACAGGGAAACTATTAATACTTGAATAGGTTCAGCGAGTGTAATCAAAACCTGATTAATTCAAAACCGTGTTCCGCTGGCAGCCTACACAATCCTGAACAAAATGGGGCTTTTCCTGATCTAGCTAGATCCCTATGAGGTAAGGATTTAAGGGAGACACAGGACCTATAAATAGTTCCTTCACCGCAATGCTCAATAGTTGAGAAATTTAAGCAGATGATAAGTAGCTCAGCTGGCTCATTTCTCTGATGTTCTTGCAATAAAGACTCGGCTGACTGCCTTTTAAGATTTTTTTTAGGGGGTTGTTGCATTCAGTTTGACACGAAACTGTAGTTTTTGCTTAAGGAAGATAAGAGATGATTATTTTTCATTTGTAAAATATAACCGCTGTTTCAGTTGGCGAATTGTAAACATGCCAATGCTCCCCTAGCTAGGTGCACTGCTTAGAATTTTCCTCAGGCGTTAAGCCATCTGCTGGCTGCAGTTCTAAGACCCTTCTCTGAGGGTAAGCAACACTAACAAGGTGAATACTGCTTCACTGTCACCCCAAGGCCTGGTTCAATCGCTATTTGATTGGGCTTGTGTAGAGGAATCGTATGAAAATCTGAGATACCATCATTTCTTCCAGGCAGCTAAGTGAGCAATCTACTATTAAAGAAAGACAAGAGAAAAAAGCAGCTACCACATATTGAGTCCAATTACATAGTAAATGCTCAGTAAGTGTTCAATTTTATCATCAACGCCATCATTGACTCTATGACAGAACTGTGCTGGTAGGCCATATACTTTCTGAAAGTTACCTTTCACAAATATGTGAGGTAGGTACCATTGTTATTTCCATTTTTACACATAAGGAAACTGAGTCTAAGAAAGACAAAATGACTTGTTCAAGTTCACTCAGCTAGGCAGCTATCGAATCAAGATGGGAACTCTGGTCTGTCTGATTCCAAAGCTAAACTCTAGCCTGGACCAGGCTGCTGTTGAGATTGAGATGTTAACTGTGTAAGCTATTAGCTTCTCACCCAGCATGAAAAGAAAGTCAATTTGTACTCACTTTTGGATTAAATAACACATTCAAACTTTACTTGCATATCGTGATAGGTAACAATAAGATAACTGCATATATATATATATATATATATATATATATATATATATATACACACACACACACATGTACATATATACATATATATATGGTTTATTCTTTTCTAAAATAAGAATGGAGTCACTTTTTATACTTGTAATTTTTCTTTCTTTCTTTCTTTCTTTTGGTGAGGAAGATTGTCCCTGAGCTAACATCTGTGCCAATGTTCCTCTATTTTTTATGTGGGATGCTGCCACAGCACAGCCTGATGAGTGGTGTGTACGTCCATGCCCAGGATCTGAACCCATGAATCCCTGGT